TCTGTGAATTATAATTCCTTCAGTCTGCATTGTTTAAAATAAAGCGCCAGACTGAAAAGCAGCAAAGCAATAAATCTACACATAAGACTGAATACAAATTAGGGGAGATATGAAACTCTTAAGTCTGACCTTCCTCTTTGCCTTTATGATGCTGTCGCCGTCCTTTTTCTGTCTGATAAAATGATGTCTTTGTCTCAGCAAAACACAGAATTCCCCTCAGTGTCACTCCCATCTGCACCACAGTCAGCTCTATCAGAACGGCTTTATTGTCCACATCAGTAACTATAATTGGACTAAACTGACCCTCTGTCCAGTGTGTTTCCCAACTGCATCTATGAAGTGTTCTGTTGACTGTCAAAGAGCTTTCTCTGTGCATTTGCGTGCATGCGTGATTCACTATTAACAGTGGCCAGTGTGAGATGACCTCATGAATGCATTAACTATACATACAACAACAATGTTGGGTTATTGCCTTTCATTTGGGAGAGATAATGTCAAGTGTCTGATGGCCACATTGCTGTGAGATACAGTAAGTACCTCTAAGTTTCATGGCTTTAACTGAAAAAAAGTTGGTTATGTAACCTGCTACCTTTTCTGCCTTACAGAATATTATTAATGCTTTTATTTGGCCTGTCATTCTTTCCACTCTGAAGGTCTTCATCATTTAATTTGATACAGAAGCTTTTAGTTAATGCTCATGTTTTTCAAAATTTATGTAAGGATTTATAACTTATTTTAAAGAGTTCCAAATTTTTTTTATCAGATATTAAGTTACACACTGACTTAACCAAAAGAAGAAACTTAAATAAATCGAAATATGTCATCAGTATTGTTATGATTATTATAAAGGGCTTAGGTTTTGTTTCAACACCGGGGAGGGACACATATTAAGCAGTCTAAGTCTGGGGGTCCCACTAGAAATTTTGAGAAATCCCACATTTCATTTCCTGCATTCTGGTGAATTTTTACGCACTAATTTGTGAATTTTCTGCACAAATTAATGGTGTAAATGTCTAATTTTGTCGAAAATTTTGCCAAAAGTCCTCTGCTGCACATGTTCTAAATATTGAGGGGGACCCGTCCCCTGTGTCCCACCTGAAATCTACATCTGTGATCAGTAGTTAAGTAGTAGCAGCAGTAGCAGTAGTAGTAGTAGTAGCAATAGTACCAAAAGCCTCCACTTGTATAGTATATTTTATAGTTAGTTAGGTAAACAGCTTTTAGTTAGTCCAAACTACCTGCTCCCCTCGATCAAAATTTCTAAAGAATTAAAGTTGGTAAACCTGGCAATTTTCTGATTATCTATTGTGCTTTATGCAGTAAAAGTATAAACAAAATTATATGCTATTATATAATGCTATCTGTAAAGTTATTGTATGTGTTAGCTAATGTTATGTAAGGAGATAGCTTAGCTTGAACTACCTAGCTAGCCGGCTAATGTTGAATGAGAACCAAAGAAGTGTTTTAGCAGTTATCTTAGTGCTAAATTGAAATATTTTTGGATGAAAAATACTAATTGTTGGTTGTTAATATAAATGTAGTCCTGTTAGATATGTCCTTTCCCTCTTTTGCTATGAGAGAAATAAGTCCAGATGGACAGTGGGTTAAAAGTAGCCAAGTTATTGGTCAACAGCACCACCTAACCTCCATTATGTTGCCTTCGGGTGCTTTTGGAAATTCCATATAGCAAATTTAGAGCTTGTAAATAAGGTAATAATATTATTAGGGACAATATGAGAGATAACTGTGGCCATATTGTGATACTTTGGGGAAATATTGTACCAGTCTGGCTTGGATTACATTGTGCAGGCTGTTTATTGAGGGGACATGACAGCATTGGTTTACTAATTTATTGATTTGTTGCCGAGAGGCCGGCTGCATTTTTAATGAAACTTGGGGGCATGATGTATCTGTAGGATCAGAGCTGGAGGATACTTTAGCACTGTTACTTTTCACAAAGTTACATCACACAGCTCTGCTAAAACTTTTTTCTTTCCATTACTGTTGGAATTTATTCTTCACCTGTGTTCAGATTCCCCTTTATGATGTTTCTCAATGTCCTTGGCATGACTTTCATTCTTGCAGTTTTTTTTTCTTTGCCAGTACTTAAGCTTAGCGAAAACTGGTTAGACTGACTGTGGAAAGGCAGTGTTCGGCCACCATTCATACCTACAGATGCCTCTCTTGTACAAATAGTATTTGACAGTCATGACTGAATGTGTTGAGGCTGAAAGTCACTGTTCTCCTGAAGGACATTTACGTTCTGGCAGTGAGTCATCATCACCGTCAAGTAGCTGACTTCTGTTTGCTCCCTAAAAGGCTGGACTAGATTGCGACATTGAGGTTTATGCTGGAGAATATCTAGTCATCAGAAGCACACCCACAAGTTCACTGATCAAGGTTGTGCTCCCTCGAACTCTGAAATTCAGTCTGAAAATTTTGTGTTTTAGTTGTTGACTAATGAACACTTTAAAATGCACTTGAAGATGGGAAGCAGTGTTTGATGTGTTGCCGCTAAGAGACGCAGAGTCATGAGTGCAAACATATAACCACTGTGTTTTTTGTAGCATTGGAGTTGAATGTGCTTGACATTGAGTGGCACGCATCATTTTCTCACCTATGAAACACATTTGTGGTTCGAAGGTGTTCTGCAGCTTCCTAAAGGCTTGTTTATTTGGAGTGTTTACGTTTAAGTACATTGATTTTGTTTCACTTGTCTCCTCTCAATTCTATACCTACACTTCATTTGAATTAACCCTAACCGAAATAGATGGGGCATGAAACACGAGCATCCACTTGAACAGACACAGTGGCCTCAAGTGCTGCAGGTGATGCAAAGCAAACAGGCTGTCTGGTTTTGTCTCCTCCGCATGTCTCGGTGATGTTGTGACTGTAGTTTCTCGCGGGCCCTTTATCTGCTGTGTCAGCCATGATATATTCATTAGGGTTGGATTACAGAGGGTGGGAGGGGATCAGGTTTTGAGTGGGTTGTAATCCCTATACACTGGCCTAATTTAATCTCACCTACTGTGCCATCCTATTACACACTACACCCACCACATGCATGCAGGCAGATGCTGGCTGGAGAATAGCGGATGAGGGGCAGGCAAGGTTAAAACAGGGTAATGTCAGACAAGAGGCGTGGAGACAAAGAGGGAGGATTGTAAGAAAACAGCTACAGAGAAGGGGAATTGATTATGAGCAGCAGGAGAGAGATTCAAGTACAGGAAATGTCAAGGAGTAAAGAAATGTCAGAGACAAAAGTGAAGACAGATAGGATTTAGAGAGGTGTGCTCTCTGAGCCTGCTTTCATGAGGAACAACCGTCGTGTTGCTTCTTTCCCCTCTAAGTGGGCGGCCTCGTCTTTCAGAATGCTCAAGAGGACATTTCTCGCATGTCTCTCATGTCTTATACATGCATAGAATATAAATGCAAGAAACTGTGAATCTCTTAAATATCACAAGTTGTTTTATTCTTTTGGTGTTGTAGCCTGTATTGAGAGCAGAGGCAGGACCAAGTCATTGTTTTGCAAGTCACAAGTAAGTACATTCAAGTCCCAAGACAAAACAGGCAAGTCATGATTCAGGTCCTAAGTCAAAACTGACAAGTCCAAAGTCATGAACTTTGAGTTTTGAGTCCTAAACACACTCTAACAACAAAGTAGTAGTAATATATTAAGTACAAGAGAACATGTATGCTTTTTTAAAAGTTTTACTTATTTTTAAAATAAGTTGTTGCATCTCAGCTGTAGTTTTTTATGTGAACAAAATTATCTTTGGTATCATTTGTTCCCACTGGTACTCAGTAAGGTAACACAAGTTCTTCGTCGTTCTCTCCTGCAACTTGACTGGATGCTGTTGGATTGGTTCAAACAAAATTAATCTTGGGAATTAAGTGTCAACTTGATGGGAATGAATAGCATTAATTAGTCCCTCCAGGATGTTGCGATTATTATGATCACAACACTTAATGCAAATTTTATGATTTACAACGAGTAAAGTCTCATCTCATTGTAGAGTTGAGAGAGCAGTGTAATGATTTGCTGCCCCCCTGTCTCTGTTTATTATGAGGCTACTTAGCTTACTGCTGCTGAACCGGAGCTCTGTGCCTGGGACAAACACACACACACACACACACACACACAGACACACACACACAGTGACAGGGCTAACTGTTAGCATCACAATGCAAATGTAACCCAACGTTTATTAACAGGTTAAACGACAGAATTGAGCCGTTTTGATGTCTGTGTGAGATCAGCAGCTGGGTGTCGGATGTTAACCGCTGCTGCAGGGCCTCTGCTCAAGCAGCATAATATGAGGAGTATGAATGAGATGTATTTCATTAGTCTGTGGCTTCCATCACACTTATTCACTGTTATTGGGTTGAAAACAAAAAAAAAAACATATTTCAGTTTGTAAACCTGTCCAGTGTTCCTTCTGCTTAGTATATTTTGGGATGCCTCTCCATCTCATTATATTTATTCATCCAAGTTGCAAATAATTTGCATGTCAGGGAGACTTTACACAGTTGAGTAATGGTTTATATAAACTCCTCTGCTGTTTTCTTTACCATTTATGACCTATATTCCTCTCATCATCACTCCTTATCTGTTCACAGCCAAAAAAAAATCAGGCCATGCTAACCTGCTGCACACTCCGTGCACCAGTATCCACCTGAAGAGGAGTCTGTGAATCTGTTCTTGTTAGCCTCTTCTGAATGCAGACTTTTAAATCAGGTTGGTGTTGGAGTTGTTTGAGTTTGCTCCCTGAATTGATCAGGGGTAATTGGGCATGGCGCTACAGAGAGCCTTGCACAGTGCCCGAGCTGCAATAATGAGCCTCTATATTTAGCTATAAAACTGTCTGTTTACATCAGCCATCATGCTCTGTTGCACAGCGGGGAAGATTGAGCAATTGTGTTTTTGTGGCCAAACTTGCAGGGCGCACTTTAGTGTGGCAATTTTTGTAAATCATTTGTTGAAATCTGTGCCGGAGAGAGGACTGACTGATGTAGCAAGAAGCGATAAGGAGGCATGGGGTGAGGCTTCTTGTTAATACGAGGGAAAGATAAAAGGCGAAATCCCCCAGAGGAAACACAGGAGCAACAAGAAGGGAAGATAGATTTATTCAGGGGTGCAGATGTCACATCGGGCGAAGGCGGGAGATGAAGAGAGAAAAGACGAAGAGCAGAAAACAAACCACATGGAGATAAAGAGAGAAACAGGAGAGACTAGGCAGAGGGCCCGGACATTGTTAACGAGCTTAACGAGGTAATTATACACATAAGCAAAGACCTCATCCTCCAGGCCTTACACGGCTGGGTGGGGCAGGGGAAGCAGGAGAGAAGGTAGAATACTGGGAGAGAAAGAAAGCACGTTTATTATCAGTAACCTTTTAATAATGTTGATTGCACCATTAAAGTGTGATCCTGCTCAGGGGGATGAGCAGGAAGTGTGAGAGTGTGGAGCTTAAGATAGGAGGTGTGTTTGCAGTTCTGTAACAAAAGCTCACAAGAGAGAAGGTGTCTTTATTTAGCTTCGTACAAGGTTTCTTTATAAGTTTAAAAAGCACTGAATTCATGAATATAAAGATGAGGCCTTTATTGGTATTACAATGTCTTAAAACAGCCTCTCAGAAGTCTTGAAAATGCAGACATGGGAAGTAGGTAGTTTTATGAATCTTTTTCTTCTGACATTGTATTGTAAAATCTCAAAATAACTGATAATATCTCTTTAAAAAAAAATAAAATACGAAATGCCTCTCACATTAACATCATGCAGCTCAGGATAACAGCACTAACCAGGGTGGGATACTCAGAATAGAGGATCTGTTATCTGCTAGCTAGCTGTCACTGTACCCTGGAGTGCAAATTTAACGTAAATTGGCTATTTAACCAATATATTGGAGCATGGCTGAAGCTAGTCCAAGGAAATGCAAACCATTCTCTGTGTATTTAATGCAAAAAGTTTTTCAAATATGACGCACAGGGAATCAGTGCACTAGATGCAGAGTGAAAAACGTATAATCGCCAAGAACAACTGCCCTCGTCTCCACCACACTACAAAGAGTCAGTTACAATTAAAATTGGACAAAATCGACCCTAAATCTGAGTAATTCATTTTTTTCCCTTTTAATTGTTATTAATGTAAAAATTGATCTTAACTTTCCCCTCAGTGGCGTTAAAAAAGGTCTTTAAAGTCTTAAATCTAACTTGCCTTAAGCTGTAGGAACCCTGTCATATCGCGCTTGCAAGCAGCCGCAATACCATCAACAGTCACAGAGAGCTGCTCACAAGAACGACCAGTGGTGCTGTAACCCTGCTTTCTTGTTTGGTAGTGCTTTTCAGTCCCTCTGGCTTGTGGGTAATAAGCAGGCAACAATTTCTTTGTGTTTTCTTCTTTAGTCCACACCACAGTACGACAAGACAGCTTAAATCCAGCTTCTCCTTTTATCTCAACTGAAGTGCATGTTAACGTGAATCTGTAACACTAACTCCTGTCCCCTGCAAAACAATGTCAGGTAGGAGCTACAGATACTCTTACTCGTACTTGAGGCTAGGGATGTGAAATAGCAACTTAAAGGTGCACATAGAATATATATTCAAATGATAATGGAATAATTACTGTATGTTATACAGATTAGTTAGTTAGTAGCAGTTTATTTCGAACATGTAAGTAGCAAATAAACAAAATAATCATGCAGTGGTAACTAAGAAGGTAACTAAGAAAAACATATAATGATTTGATTTGCATGTCCAAAAAGGAGTGGGAGGAAGTACAACCTTATTTATCCCCACCCCTTCTCCATAAATTAATAATAGTCAATTATGTAGCTCCCCATCAGTATAAAGCTGTATAATTAATTCTGTGAGACCTATTCATATAAGTTAAATAAATTACCAACAATATTTGTCTTACAGCAAGATTATAATTACAAAAATCTCATCTTTAATTATGCAGAATAACTCTGTAAGTCCAAAAAAACAATGTGGAATCGCTCCTGCTAAAATATATATCTTTCCACAGCATTCTGCAACAACATGAAAATAAAAAATCACGAAAATAAAATCATCATAAAATAACCCAAAAATATAATGTTCACAGCTTCTAAGGTTACAGTATCTTCTCAGCACACAGAGGGTAGCTATACCTCATCCTCACTGGCACTTTATCAACACTTGATTCTAAAACAAGTGACACGATTCCTAGTGGAAAACATCTAAATCCCAAAGTACATCGCCACGTATTTGTTTACAATCTCTCTGCACATTGTGTTTACACAACCTAATCTAATGTCAGAGAGTACAAAGTACACTCACACACCACCAGACAGTTTTACTTACACATCAAATAATTATAAGTGAATCTTAATTAAGTGAAATTTAATTATTCCATTACAGAGGACAGTGTGGGAAGATAAAGAGAGGAGGATACAGGGAGCAGAACTGGATGGGAGCGTAAAGGACAGAGATCCTGTAGCGATTAAAATGTCAGCGCGTGCAGAGGCAGATGCACACCTGCCAGGCGCACACACACACACACACACACACACACACATATAGCTCACTTGCATTATCTCAGGCTGTGTACAGAGTGACTCTGTGACACTAACTAAATCCGGAACACAGCCCCAAACACAAATAGTAGAACTGCCTGCTATAAAATCAGCATGTGTTCAGTTGGGATGACTACATGGGTACCATATATCTTCCATTTTATACGTACTCATAACTTTTCCGCTTGTTCCCTCCCTGCATGCCCTCCGTCTTTCCATCTCTCCTCCCGTTTCTCCTCCAACCAGAAGTCCAGACAGTCTGTGTTTTATTTATGACAGTGTAGTGAACACTGCTTTGACCAGCCCGTGGTTCAGAGGGGGACAAACAATCCAACAGTAAACGTTAGTGACAGGGCTGTTACTTGCCGAGTGGCCGTCATACACTCTGTTCCCCGTGTCTCAGCCCCTCAGCCATGCCTGCGGGGCCCCTCCGCCTCCACAAGTGTCAGAAAAGCTGGTTTCTCCTTTCACTTCGTATAAAGAGAAAAGACTATGAAGGTGTTTGAGAAATGTTGTCATGCAAAAGCTGTGTTTGTTTGGCTAGTGCTCCCTGGCAGGAGTTGCTGACGTGCTGTGTGGGTGTCCTATATAGGAAGCAGCACGATCAGCATGTTTTAAGCCATGCTATCATGGGGTGGAGATGATTTAGATATCTGCCGCTATAGCAGGGGATTTAGTGTACTAGAATATTGCCACTGGTCTATTTTCTCCATGAGAAGGTGTGTTATGTTGCTCATATATTTGACTGCGGGAACACACACGAGAGTATCAACAGCTGGCCGCGAGCATCTTTGTTTTGTGTGTGTCTACAGTATAGATGTGGATTGTCAGACCTTGTTGGCCTAACTCTCTATGAAAAGCTCATCAACTGGTTGTTACGCTGCAGGGAAAGGTCACCGCATCTTCCTCTGCATGCCTCTGGCCTCTCTCTGTGTTTCTATCTGTTTTTCTCTCCTTCTGTCTCACTGGAATTGGGGCCGAACCCTCTCTGTCATCTCTCATAACTGAAGCAAAACGGGAGGAAAAGAGAGATGAGAGAGTGCGGTGGAGTTGTGGGCACAGCTGGGGCTTCGGTGTACGGGGCAATACCCTAGGAGGAAGAGGAGGGGGAAAGAAAAGATGATGCAGGAGGAGGGGGAGCGAGGAAGGAGAGGCGCAGTGAAGCTCTGCAAAACAATATAAATATAGAAAGTAGATGAAACAGCTTCCTCATATTTTTTTTTTGCTTATTCACTCTGGCTGCCTCCGTGAATAGATAATATAAAGCCAGATATACTTGTCACTCCCTTTAACCGTCTGACAGGAGATGACGCGCACACACAGATGCAAACACAGGCGGTGTGGAACAGGTTGTGTGTTTACTCTTTCATATTGCGCCTTGCTGAAAATTGCTGCGCGATCCGGAAAATGTCACGTCCTTGATCTCTTTGCACCACTACACACTGGTGCGTAGAGGGGCTGGAGACGTGGGGAGGGGGATTTGCAGAGACAGGGGTCTGCGTGCCTCAGATAACACTGCAGCCTTTGATGGGGCTTGGCCCTCCTCTGTTGGAGAGCGCAAGCCGCTCCGCCTCAAATAGATCTCCGCTGCGGACTCCATTGATAATGATTGGATTTAGTTACAGAGCAGAAATGGTTCGCTGATGATAATGATAACAGATGCGATTGGAGTTAGTCAGCCACTTAGGGCCGAGGGATTGTATCGATGCCGTGCCAGCCTGCAAATTTCCCCTCAGACTGGACGGTCTCTCTCAGGCTTGATAAAAGTTGATGGCAGAGGTTGATAGAATGCTACCTGTAATTGCATTGTGTATGATGTTGGCTGGAAGGTTGTAATGAAGATGTAGTGCAGCACAGATGGAAGACAGTGTTCCATAAGCTGCTTCCTATAGGGAAGGGGAAGAAGACTGGGAAGGAGGGGTGAGGTAAAGGAGTTCACGGAGAGGAAAAGGGGAGTTTCATACTGATATAAGGAGCGAGAGACAATCAGCAGGGAGCAGAGAATAGAGAACAGAAGCAAAAGAGATAGAGGAGCGCAAATAACAGACAGACTTTCAGAAAAGACGACAGTCAGGATGGAGGAACTCTTTCAAGTGTGGGTAGCGTGTAGACATAACAGGGGAGCTGGAGAAAGCCAGAGATGGGGAGAGAGCAAGAGATGGAGACATGGGAGACAGGAGATGAAGGTACAGAGTATAAAGTACAGATAGATGAGAGAGAGAAAGAGAGGTAGAGAGAGAGAGAGAGAGAGAGCGTAAGGGGGGATGGGGTGAGGAGGATGAACACAGGAGGGGGAGGGGAGAGAAATATTTTCTGTGTTCGGTGGAGCTGGAGTCAGGAGGTTGTCATGGTGATAGCGGGGTGAGAACAGGAAAGGGAGGCAGGGGTATTGACACCTTGCCCAAGATACTGCATACCCAAACACACACACACACACACACATGGACACAAACAAAATGACTCATGCGCAACAATACTGACCTGTCACATCCTAAGTAAACACACTCACACTTTCTCACACAAACCCACAAGCGTACGCACAGGTGGTGCCTACAAATAGGCTGAGACCATGTATGAGGCTCAGGAGCCATATCACCATGCAAACTCTTTTTCCCATGTCTCTCTGCTGTCTTTTATCCTCACACAGCCCCATTTGAATGGCAGGCAAATCCCTTTAAACTGACTTGTCTTACCAGACAATTACCTAAACCAACCC